CAAGACCTTTATTGATAGGGACGTGAGGCTAAGAGGGGGCGCGAGACTAATGCAGACAACAAGACCTATATTGATAGGGACGTGAGACTGGGAGGGGACTGGAGACTAATCCAGATAACAAGACCTATATTGATAGGGACGTGAGACTGGGAGGGGACTGGAGACTAATCCAGATAACAGGACCTTTTCTGATAGGGACGTGAGTCTGGGAGGGGACTGGAGTCTAATCCAGATAACATGACTTTTTCTGATAGGTACGTGCGTCTTGGAGGAGACGCGAGACTAATCCAGATAACAAGACCAATATGGATAGGGACGTGAGACTGGGAAGGTACGCGATACTAATCCAGACAACAAGACCAATATTGATAGGGCCGGAAGACTTGGAAGGGACGTGAGACTAATCCAGATAACAAGACCTATATTGATAGGGACGTGAGACTGGGAGGGGACTGGAGACTAATCCAGATAACAAGACCTATATTGATAGGGACGTGAGTCTTGGACGGGACGTGAGACTAATCCAGAGACATTTTTTCATTGTCTGTAGGAAAAGTGGAAAAAGAATAATTTATCGATGCTTCTTGATAAATGTAAAGAAATCTAACGATTTTTGAAGTTCACATTGAGGCTTTGGATCAATGCTTGTTGCTAACTTAAGAAATTACGTCCTAGTGGTGAGAAGTTATTCAATCAGTCACTTTAGCTGACACTAAAGAAAGACATAGTCCACTAAGTAGAAATTAATTATAAATTATAACTGATTGATTTGAACCTAGGCACTAACACAAACCAGGTATCGAGACCTATATCGACAGGGACGCAAGACTAATCCAGATAACAAGACCTTTTCTCAGACAAGACCTATATTTTTAGGGACATAAGTCTGGGAGGGAACTCGAGACTGGGAGGGGACGCGATACTTATCCAGATAACATGACATATACTGATAGGGACGTGAGACTGGAAGGGGACGCGATACTTATCCAGATAACAAGACAAATACTGACAGGGACATGAGTCTGGGAGGGGACGCTAAACTAATCCAGATAACAAGACCTATACTGACAGGGACATGAGTCTGGGAGGGGACGCTAAACTAATCCTGATAACAAGACCTATATTGATAGGGACGTGAGACTGGAAGGGGATGCTATATTCATCCAGATAACAAGACATATACTGACAGGGACATGAGTCTGGGAAGGGACGCAAGACAAATCAAGATAAGACGATCCCTAATTGAAGGGTTTTGTTGTTAAAATAATGACGTCACAGAGTTGTCTGGTGCTATTGAACAAGCCAGGGGTCCCTAGGAAAGGTACGGTCCAATAAATAAACATAAATTATAAATTACACTTAAGGATTGAATTTCAATTTCATGGGGTGATGTGTTGATCTTTTAATTTAATGAACTACACATGTTGAATTTGTTTCAAGACCAACTCAATTCATCACCCCATGAAATCCACTAAAGCAAGATTCAAACCTTATATTTCAATTAACCTATGCTATTTTTCAATAATTGGAACTTGTGAAGTCCATTTTGATAGTTTGTCCCACGTTCTGGAGTTTGTGCAAGTTTACTTATTAACGTAATGCAAACAGAATTTAGTCCGTTATTGAAGGACCTTCATACAACATGATAGTGTACGTTGAAAGTTCAATACAGCCAATTTATGTAGAAAAACCCCACAAAAACCATATTTTAAATGGATTATTTAATTTTGTTACTGAATTCATAAAATATCAAATTATGTGACGCGTAATCGCGGAAGAATAATGTTTAGACGCGGTGCGCAGGCTCAGCTGCGAGTCTACGGCAGCCATCCATTCACGAGCTCAAAGTGGAGAGCCGCTTAATTTCGAGGTTCTACATTTTCTGGAATGTGAAGCTGCAGTAATTGAATGTCTAATTAGAACGGGAACCAGACGTGGCTTGAAAGGACGAAAACATTGATATAGCAGTGGCTGTTCGACTGCATTTCATATAAGACGGGACCACATGTATAGTAAATCTACGTTGTTTTCGATTTGTTCCGGGGGTTGCTACTGACACCAGAGGGAATGGGTAGCTGGAGGGAGACTTTCTAGGGCAGCACATCACTTGTCACCGCTAACAACCGTGAGCTGATCATATTTTGCTGATTGACCGTTGTTGGTTGTTTGAACTATTTCTTGTGTAGCTTCAAAAAAATGTAAAATCTCATCAAGTGGTATCTTTGTTTAAACATGTCAATAGTTATCTCCCTTCGCAAAAATATAGGAAATGTTAATCTGGTAAATCGAGCCAAGGAAAATGGAATAAGTTAATACAGTGGCGGATCCAGAGGGGTTTTTTGGGCTTCAGGAAACCCCCTCCACCCTGAGAATTTTCTTTAAAAATCATGTATTTTCACCATTTTCTTATGAAGCATGGCAAACTTACTACTTATCTCCTAGACTTCTTACTGATGACACCAAACTTAAGAATTTCCAGTTTAAGATATTGCATAATATTCTATATACTAATGTCAAATTAATGCAAGCTAAACTAATGGAAACAGAAAGGTGTACGTTTTGTGAAAATGGAAGGGAGACAATGTTACATTTATTTTGGGACTGTTGCTATGTTAAGGTCTTTTGGTCCTCATTTTTTAATCTTATACAAATAAAACATGGCATTGAACTACCATTTAATTCTCAATCAATACTTTTTGGGGTCAGTATTGCTAGATTTCATTATGAAACAAATGTTTTATTGCTACTCTTGAAGTTTTTCATCTACTATTGTAAGCAAAGGGAGACTACTCCGTCTTTTTCCACGGGTAAATTATATTTATCCTACTACAAAAAAATAGAAGAGGTTGGTCTGTACTCTTATAGTACTAAGAAAAGGGACAAAATTAAAATTAAATGGAACTGTATTACTGAAATAATTAGTTAGAAATGAACTATATGATTTACTCTTTTCAAACTATCTTGTATGTCAGTTTCTAATAGATGTACTCTTGTAATTGGATTTAGACGTATGTATGTATCACCTGTTATAACAAGTGTATATATGATTGAATACAAGTATATATGAGAAGAAATGAAACATGTTACATTTGGTAGTTGCATTGAGTCCAATTTGAGTAGGAATTGAAAGATATAAGTTTAAAGAGGGTAGCATGATCAATTTAATCAGAAATTTCATTGCCCGTAGGAAATATCGAAAAAGAATAATTAATCGATGCTACTTGAGGTATACAGAGAAATTTTTACGTTTTTTGAAGTTTACAACGAGGCTTTGGATCAATGCTTGGTGCACACTAAGGAAATCTCGTCCTAGAGGTGTGATGCTATTAAATCAGGCACTGAAGCTGACACTTAAGAAAGACATGGTCCACCAAGTAGAAATGAATAATATATCATAAGTTATGGATTAGAACCTAGGCACTAACATAAACCAGGTAACGACACCAGGTAACGAAACCTATATCGACAGGCCAGGGACGTAAGACTAATCCAGATAACAAGACCTATGTCGAAAAGAACGCGAGACTGGGAAGGGACGCGAGACTAATCCAGATAACAAGACCAATATTGATAGGGACGCGCGTCTGGGAGGGGACGCGAGACTAATCCAGATATCAAGACCTATATTGACTGGGACGTGAGTCTGGGAGGGGACTCGAGACTTACTCGGATAACAAGACCTATATTGATAGGGACGTGAGTCTGGGAGGGAACGCGAGACTAATCCAGATAACAAGACCAATATTGATAGGGACGTGAGTCTGGGAGGGGACGCGAGACTAATCCAGATAACAAGACCAATATTGATAGGGACGTGAGACTGGGAGGAGACATAAGACGATGCATTCGTTCGCTTTGAAAATATTGATTTTGTCTCTTAATGTATTGATTGAAAGACTTTGGTACACGGTATTATACATATATTTTAAAAAATCTACATGGTGAAACATGCTTTCTTAATCAATAACCCGAACTACGTAATTAAGGCTACGGAAGAAATATTTTATGTTCTCTCCGTTTTCTTAAATATCGTTTGAATGACTAAAGTGTGAAAATTAATATTAGTCATCTCTACCTCTTACTTCAACAGTTGTGTATCTCGTGTACGTGTACAATTTATAGTCTGGATTAAATACCTTAACAGTGTTTCTCCCCTCTAGACTTCTCTCTTTGATAATGAGAAAGGTCAGGCCCCTTCTTTTTGTTGAGATCTGGTAGGTTATGCTGAAAGTATCACGTTTTCCTAAACATGTGGTTTCCAACTCGTACTCGTTTGACACCTTTGTGTACACACGCTTTACCGGTCTGCTGAAGGTGACAGAGTACATATCGAACCAGTCATTGAAACATCACACATACTCACCTGGAGAAAATGTTTAGGAACATCCGAACAAATTACGGAAAAGGTGTGGCCAAAGATGTGAGTAACCTCGAGAGCTTAGAAAAGAAATTAGGGAGACACAGATACCAACTTTTGTTGCTGAGATGTAGAGATTTGTATATAACACCTTCACGTATAAATATTAGGTGTTGTTAAATGCAATGACTGGATATGGTGAGGTAGTGATAGAAGCTTCCCCTATCTTGAGGATGTGACTGATAAATCTTCAATCCAAGGGATGCTATTCTTGATTGTTCGTAGGTTTGATATTTTGAGACCATATGTAATTGTAGGCTACGGAAGAGTTTTTGCAATGTACTCTCTGTTTACTTTGATATCATTTAAAGTGTGGAAAATATAATATTAGTCATCTCTACCTCATTCTACAGTTGTGTATCTTGTGTACGTGTTCCACAATTTGTAATCTGGATTATATACCTTAGTACTGTTTCTACCCTCAAGGCTTCTCTCTTTGATAATAAGAAAGGTCAGTCCCTTGCTTATAACAAAAATGTGGCAACTATTATACGAAATAGACGTGATTTCCAATGCTTCAACTGCAATCAGTTTACGTCATATAATGCTATTCTGTGTTACTGGTATCACACTTCGGTTGTAGTTCTCACTTTGTGCTGGGCAGAAATGGATTGTTGGAACTACCTAGTATCTGGACCCCAGGGAGTCCCTGACGCTGCTATTTCAGCGTCTTCCTACCATCCGTTTTCTCAATGGCATCACCACCCCGCCTGTGGCCGCCTGTACATGTACCAAGAGAGGAGTTCGACCGGATGTCAGGCCCCGAATATAGCAGGCTGGTGTAGCTCTACAGGAGATCCAGATCCTTATATCCAGGTAAACAAGACATACTGAAATTCGTGAAAACTACTAGACATTTGTCATGTTTTTGTTTACAATTGACATAATGCAGTTGTAAAGTAACAGCATCGCAGACATGGTCATGCATCAAAATAATTCTGCAACGATGGATTTATGTTGGAAAACTACTAAAGTTGTATGCAAATTTTGGCAGTACAAGCTTAGACTATTCAGTCTCAGTTTCAACTTCTTCAAAATGTCCATGTCTTTGAGGTTAATTGAAAAAAATGTAAAATTAAAATTTCAAATTTTACGTTGAGTTTTTGTCGTTCTCCAGTCTGATAAATAAAATCATTGGTCGCTATTCATCAATTACGGTGCAATAGTGACGGTACATATACGCTTAAATAAATAAAAATACATCGACTGTATTGTATCGCAACCCATTAGCATCTACATTTAATATGCTGTGAAACTATTCCGGAATTCAGTTCATTTACTAGTCATGTCCTGTGAATGTTACACTATGGTGAAACCACGTGTTATTTCCCTTCAACGTACTGTCTCTCAAGGAGATAGAACAACATGTCATGGCATTTGTGGGTTGGTAAGGATGAGGAATCCGAAAAAGACCGTAAAGACACTGGCAACTTTCACAGTACATATGGACTTTGCTGGTCTATTTATGAATTTCAAATCTCGGGTGATTGTCGTCTCATATTCCAAGTGGCCGAGAGTATATCCACTGAAATTACGCGTTTTCTTCAGTTAGTGTGGGATTGCAAGTCAATTGGTCTCTGACAACGTCCAAAGGAATGGAAACATTCGTGAAATGGAAAGGAATCTGGCACATCATCTCTGCGCCCTAACATCCGCATACTTACGGATTGGCGGAAACTTTTATACAAACCATTAAAATTGCAAGGAAAATTACAAAAGGGAACAACCTGTTGTGTTGAAATACAGGACCACACCAAATACAGTTACAAAAACAAAGCACTCCATAAAATTGCTTTATAAACATAATTTACGCACATGATTGGATCTCCTCAAACATAGAACCAAAAGCTATATTTTGTTCAAATGTTAGTTAAAATGTCATTTATACATGTCTTATATTCTAGTCAAATTCGAGATAAAGATTAAAGTTCAATTCATTTCAATATTACAAAGACTTATTCACAATAACATTAATATGGACATTCCTGCCATTTACTGGCATTTAATAGTTATTATTTATTTTTTATCCATATTCGCTTCTATGGAGGAGAGGATATGAATATGATGTAGTAATACTATTCCGAATGCAGCGGTATGCCCTGTGTAGGAATTCATATGTGTTTCCTGAATATTGAAATTTGTTGTTATGTCATATTTAAACCAAAGTGTTGTTTTCTTTCTTCATACTTTCACCTTCATACCAAAATGTGAAGATACTTGTATGGCTGACATCTTAACCACTTTACTCAATATTTCATCATTCACTCCAACATCTGGGTCTTCGAACCACCTTTGGTTTTTGTAGGTGGACTTTTCTGATCTCAAGAAGATTGTTGGCGTCGTTATTCAAAAACGCCAACAATTAACGACGAATACTGACATCCTTACATATCAAGTTTCGTACAGTGTGAACGGAGAGGACTGGGAATACGTGAAATCAGAGGCCGTCAACCAGGTAATATTCAAGCATTGAAATGTTTTTGTATGGTATTGATGATCTTTTTAAATGACACAGCTTTGCAAGCAAACAACATAATGCGCGCTAGCAAACAAAGTAGTACTTTGAAATTTTAACAAACACTTCAATTTTATTCCACAATTCAGTATCAATACAATTGCGTATGATATGTCTATAGGGTGATTTAAGTTTATCAATAGAAATCTGAGCTGAAAGTTAGATTTTAAATTGTTTCGATTTTTCCCCGGAACAAATTTCGTGCATGGATAAATACAGTGAACACCGTGAATCCGACCTTGACCTCCACGAGGGAGTTATTTTTGGAAGTTAATGCGAAAGTTTCTCTTTGCTCATTTTGTGAAGAATCCAGACGTGAATTTATTTGTTGATTGTATGGGGGAATCTGACTTAAGTCGGTAGATTCTATAACAGCCTCGTTGTTTGACATGTCGTGATCAGAAACTAGGGAAACCGTGGCTGCGAGACGCGTGAAACTGATATTTTTTGAAGTGTGATCTTGCGACGGAGCACAGGGGTTCATTACAAATGTCTGAAATGTTTATCTGTGCTGTGACTCATATCAGTAAGTCTGTAACATATGTGTTAGTAGGTCTATAGCATATGTGTATTTCAGACATTTGTAACGAACCCCTGTTAATCAGTGCAGTGTAACAGACGATATTTCTGATAAATTGCACGAGTGTTAAAATTGTTTCCATTGCCGGCATTGGTGATTTTAACCGATGTGCATTTTGTACGATATTGCAGACCATGGTCTTGTTTTTGTTATAATAAAAGTACTTTTTTACTTTTTCTTTTGCACATAAATTAACAATGACATTGTCAAGTCTCACAATGCCCAGCCATATTTCTGCAGCCGTCATGTATATTTACATTGGATATTGTAGTTCCGGTCAGTGTTGTATTAATACGCTAAGAATTGTCTCGTGCTGCATGGTAGTTAAAGTCCCATCAACGACACAGCTTTCAAAGAGGCATTATAGTGACAATGCCATGCATATGTAAATATAACGATATATCATACATGTAGTCTTATATCGTATCATACAGAAAGTAAATAGGTAATACGACACATTTGTGTTAATCTGACATCACATATTAGACAAAGTTTCGCTTGTATTGATAATATTTCAAGAGGGATAGCAATTTTTGTTATGTAATAGAGATAATTAGATATCTAATGACGTTTTTGATAACGATCGGTAATGACTGGCATACGTTTCGCTTCTGGCGAATAAAGGAGANAAAAAAAAAAAAAAAAAAAAAAAAAAAAAAAAAACACCACCAAAACATACAAGATACAATGTTTTTGCGATTAAAAAGGAATGTCAACGAAATGACATACTCTGTGTATTGGCACGGGAAACAGACAATATGTCACGGGGATATCTCTTGTTTCAGACTTTCTACGTTCCAGCAGATTCCGAGGGGGAGAACACAGAGCGACACAGTAACATAAGTCCACCTGTTGTGGCCCGGTACGTCCGTATCCGGCCCCTGACTTGGGTAGGCACGCCACCTACACCACCATGTTTCAGATTTGACGTGATTGGATGTACTCACGGTAGGCTATAGTCATAAGGGTCGTTCAGATAGAACGACAGAAGTTAAAACTTAAGTTTAGGTTAAGTAAGAATACCCGTCTTTATGTCATTAGGAATACTATAAATTGGTTGTCTCTTTGGTGTTTTTTGGTTTGGTTTTGTTCGCCATATTTCGGTCAACAACGATATTTATTATTTTTGAATGGCTTTCTGATTATTTGTTTTCAAGTTGAAAAGATTTCAGCAATAGTATATTTTCAAACCATTATCTTTCCTTGAATTCAGGGTTTTTACGTTCGAACAGGATGATTCAGGGGCGGGTTTTGAAGTGTGCACATGTTAACTGTGAAATACATCGAGAGCTTGCAAAATTTAGTTCATCCAGGGCTTGACTATTAGTACCAATAAAGTCAGGGATTGGATTATTTTCACTCTGTAGTGCAAGGTTTTAAGCTTTTCTGCTGTTTTAATTCATTAGTCTGAAAATTTCAGCAGTGCCATTCAAACACGTAATGAGATTTCCTCCACATAGTTGGGATATCCCTTGTGTCATTTGACTGATACACTGCAGACAGAATAGTAAATTGTTTTTGAATTGCTTAACAAAACATTATATGTAGCTAAAAATTAGAAGTTGGATTTTTTTCCATGGACAAAACATGGTCGCCTTCCTCATTCTGGAAGTTTAGCATTTAGATATTATTATTTACTCTACAGAATTAAGGAAAATGTCAATACAAATGAATACATATTCGGGCAATTCGTACGAGGTACTTCCCATTAGCTATTAATCCGGTTTTATGTAGGGAACAGAAGGAAAAACACTTAACATCACAATGCTGTCCGCGAAGAGAACATCTCTCTTCCTATCTATTAACTATTGTCATATCTTAAACCAACTGCATCGCATTATGTCGAAACTTACGAGCTACACCATTTCCTCCTGCACAGATTGCTATCAATGATTATTTGCTTTAATAAGCCTTCAACTGGTGCAAGCATTAGACAGAGTGTTAGCATTTCAAGACTTTAGACATATAAACATAACGTTAAAATGGTACACGTTTTTGGCAGGGTTTGATCCCTCTTAGGGCTGCCTCATCCCTAAGACATCAGACATATAAACATAACGTTAAAATGGTACACGTTTTTGGCAGGTTTTGATCCCTCTAAGGGCCACCACATCCCTGATACTTCCGATATATAAACAAAACGTTAAAATGGTTCACGTTTTTGGCAGGGTTTGATCCCTCTTAGGGCCGCCTCGTCCCTGAGACTTCAGTCATATAAACATAACGTTAAAATGGTTCAGTGTTTTGAAGGGTTGGATCCCCACGAGGGCCAAAACACGGTACCAAATAGAAGATGGCCCATTGTCATCATTAAGAATAATGTACCTTGGGTAAGAGGAGCGGGACATAACAGAGGGAATAAGTCAATTTAAATGTCGAAATCCTGGTCTTCTTTAATAACAACACATATTGCTAATAAATTTGGTTAGAAACATCCTCCTTAGGTTCAGGCGATCAAACACATGTAGTGTACAGTATAAGGTAAGTTTATGCGACTACTGGTGCCCAAGGAGATGGCCAAAATGGCAATTAAGAACGTATTGACTCATCTACAAGGATTCTTACCATATTTGTCTGAGAGTATAACAGACACAAATGTTATGAAGACTTGTTCTCTAGGTTATAACATGGAATTGATTAAGATCAAACTATATACACATATACACAATTGCTAGACATAGAGAGAAGATTGTTCTTTGACTCTGTCCCTGTCAATGAAAACTTAACCGTTTGTTCATTGCACAGAAAGAGTTGAGATCGCAAACATAATGCATGGAATAAGACCAAACACAAATACGCTATAAGGTTTAACTTGGAAGTCTAATCCAATCATAGGGTAATAGTGCTAGAGCTATAACGCTGAAGTGACAGTAAAATGTATTTAGAGTCTTTCTTATGATAATATTCCTAGTTTGGTTCAAGTATACACTACACCTAAGTGTTGTACAGGGTTGTGATTTCATTTTTGTAATTATATATTCACTATATGTTATCGTATGCATGCATTTGCACCGCAGGTGTTGGAACTTCTGTACAAGTTACCGGGAGGCGACGGTTTGCTTACCTCCCCTTGCCAGCTGGATCCATCAGTGATGATGAAGGGGTAACGCAAGAACATGCCAAAGACCTTGGAGAGTGCGGCCTGCGGTGTCACCGTGACGTCACGTGTCGCTCATTCTCCTACAGCAACGCTTAAAAAGATTGTAAAGCATACAGTGTCAACAAGTACAGCCAGCTGAGTGCAAGAGCAGGCGAGCAGTCGATTTCGGAGAAACAGTATCTCTACTACTTTGACATGAGTGAGTGTATTCTGACGTTTTACGGTTGTAAGTTCCAGAATAAAAATAACATCCATCAAGACGCTTTATAGAAAAATGTTTTATTAGAAACAACCTGAAAATAACAATCAAAATTGCAATATTGCTGAAATATTATACGGTGATATATCACAAATTGGTGAAAGCTACTATGGAATTTATATTTTTCACACGCTCATCACAAAGTATAATGTATTGTCTTTGTCATGAAACTTATCAAAACGGTTAATTAAAACAAAAAACAATTTTTATATTTTCGTTGCGATTTAACATTCTGCAACAATTTTCCACGAAGCAGTTGGCCAGCCATAGTAATTCAAGATGTGTGTTTCCGAAAATTGATTTGAAATTATAACATGTACAGTATATAAATAACAATTTGACACATACAAATGTATTATACAATAATATCATGCATAAAATTATGTCCTTATCTGTTAAGTCACAGATATATCCAAGCGGACTTGCATGTAGTTTGTATTCAGATAGTCTGAGGCTGGAGATGTGAAAACTTATTTCTTGAATGTTTTATCATCTGGAAGACTGGCTGTTCAAAAATAAAAAGTGAGATACATGAAAGAAAAATGTCCCTGATTTTCCAGCAAACGTAGATCTATACATGACAATTGACTCGACAACCGGACTGATTTACAAGGTCATCACACGGAAGTACAGCAAGGAGGACGCCATGACAGCTTGTGCTGACCTCGAGATGAGACTCCTAGTGGTCAACTCTGTGGACAAACTTAACCTCTTAGATCGGGTAAAGTCGTCAAGTCTTATTCTCGGTAAGTAAGATTCGTGTGCTCACCACCTGTGTTGAGGAAAACTTGTCTAATTAAATCTTAGTTTAACATTCAATGCCAAGAAATGTAAGGGTAGCCTGGGAGGTCCAGAGCGATGTTCAGTATACGAACCACTGTATGCTGGTAGGCACTTGTTTTGTCTGACCTTTGATGGTAATTTGTATATATTGATTGTCTCCGCTCAGCTCTTGATAACAATATCCATTAACTGGCGCCAATGAAGTGTTAAGTAACATAGAGAAATATTGACTTTAGTACATTTGATAATTTTTTTTTATTATTGATAACATATCATTATAGCTGCTTTAGTAAAAATTGTTGAGGTTACACAATGTCACAGACAATATTCTGAGTTTAGAAATATAACGGAGCCAGACTGGGATTAGAGACCCTGGACATCATGTTCTTATAAAAGGTACTGTCACTCCAACCAGCTGGGCTGCCTGACCAACGATAGTATCCTGGCCCAGTCGCACTACAGTTATTTCCAAAACGATCATCAGGGGAGGTCACTGCCTGCATTAAATCTACTGCGGAATTCTCTATTGATTCGCCTGCAGTGGGACAGCAATCCTTCAGGCACGACTGAACCTTGTGAAAAGATTCATGTAGCATAATACTTGGTACATGAATCTTTTCACAGTCCATACTTACAAACCAGACAAAAATGTATCGAAACAACTGAATTTTTTCCAGAATAAAATTAAGATATTTTAATAAAAGAGACCTCCGTGAAACAAATGTCGGGGGAGACTTCTCGTCATTCTTCTTCAAGGAAACTAAGTTTTGATGATGGAACTGATACATTTTGTAAACACACATTGACGCATAATCCATTTCTGACATCCCTGCCGTTTACTATTGATTATTGTTTTTATATTAACAACAGAACAGGGATCACTGAGGTTGAGTGGAGGATGGTATGAGGTGGACGGGGTGACGAAATGGTGGGACGGGGGAGACCCACCTCAGCCTCTCAGCGACAAACTCATGAAGTGGGACACAGCGGTGGAATTCGAACATGGAAGCTGTCTTGTCTACAATAACAAAAACGTTCGACGAACCTCTTGTACACCACAACTGTTCTCGATTTGTGAAATATGACACAAAGGACACTTTTTCACGCATAGTCTGTTTTAACCACTCAATTTTATATCCTTGTAATGTCGAAAAAACGTATTAGGTAATTTTATTAAAGCGACACATTTTTCTTCTACTCGTAGCAACTTTTAGTGTTTGCTTTTCTTGACACGCATCATTAAATTGAGTACGGCATTTTAATGTTTTTTATTTTTGTCCAAAATATGACGGCCATTGCGCTGCTACGTTACGCTACTTTAAGGATCAATGATATTTTTCGTTCTGTAATTAATTGAACTATGTACATGTGTTACAGATAGTTCTGAAATTCAAATGCTATCTTAATATTGAACTGAATTTAACCAACAAAAGTGATGCATTGAGATGATAAAAAATGGTTTATCAAAGTTCTCTGCGTTCAGGCGATGACAAACGATCTCCGTTGCTGATCATATGAGCCTTTGTTATAGCTACACATCTCATTGTGATAGCTACAAACCCGCATACTTCCACGTATATCCACTCCGTCACCATTTTCTCTGTCATAGAGAATATGGTATTACTGTAGATAGTTACATCGCTAGTTAAAGTTAGTTGGTTTGTGGACAGTTCATATTTGTGTACGCAAATTATTAAACCACCCAAGTTGTTCTTTATTTCTTAATATATTCTTCATGTATTTTTGTATATAATATCAGTTATGTTGTTGCATGTTCATATATCACAGTATAAATCTAAGTGAGCGATTTATTCTTAACCTATTCAACGATGTGACGAAACTGTATTCTATATGCCACTCGACACTGTCGTTTCGATAGATCGTGTACATCCTGTATCAAATACAAATCGCGCACTCAGTCATAGCTTGGACACACAGTTGGGTCTTTGAACGTTGCGACAAATTTAATACGCACACTGTTTGTGCATAAAGTAAAACTTTGATATTACACCAAAGACATCTAAAGGTGTTGTCAATTTTTCAGCCCTGTATTTATTTACATTTACAAACATCCTTTAAATACAAAAATGAAAGTTGTTTTATAATTAATGTCAGCCCGTATAAAAACACGGACATATAACTTATTCGTACATTGTCGTAATACAGAGGCATAAATCAGCTACACATGTACATTTACACAAATCACAATGATATAAGGTATCATAAATTAGAATATTTAAAGAGGAAGTGTCCTTTACATAAAAATATGTATATATCGTGTACAATTGAACGATTATAAATTTGTATATCATATTTCAATTCGAATATTTTCATTCCCTACGTCTAGACCTAGAGATAGTTATCCTACCTACTGCTTGTATATAACTTACTAAGTCACAGTAATCAATTATAATAGTTGATGGTATGGACCCAGGAGGAAGATGGAAGAGATAACTGGTATTGAACTAAAATGTCCTGTGCCTGTACAGTTCAAAAGTGGTTGAAGTTACAACGCTCCCTAATAAAGAGAAAAGCAGGGAAGCGAGACATTTAAAAACACCCGTGACAGTACTTAGATCGATACTTAAGTTATCATTTATGCGAAGCTACATTGCAGTAAGCCAACGGAAATCGATAAAAATACCATTTATCAACAAGCCGTTCAAATGTTCTAGGTGTCTTCCAAAGTGATCTGACTTTCAAACAAACAAAAATACATGAGTTATTAACAAGAGGCTAAGGATCACATAGCTATGTCTCCAACATATTCACTGATCTTTGAAGATCTAAAAAGAACCAATATTGTGATTTGACTGAATATAGAATCCATCTTATAGCATAGGAAGTCCGCTGTAGATATAAAGATATGTTCTCCATATAAAGGGTTCATAGTAGAATACACGTCAACTTTGATCAAACGTGAAAGTGGAATACATTGTAAATCAGTCCCCTGAACTTCTACTTTTAGTATTTTATTATTGTGCTAGGACTGAATATAGGGTTCCGTATTGTGGCATTTTAGGTCCGATGCAGATATAACAAGAAGTTTGAGTCGTAGATGGATCATATTAGAAGACATGTGCCAAGTTTAATCAAAATTGAACGAGTAACACTATAAGAACCAGGCTCATGAACGTGGAAGTTTTAATATTTCAAAATTATGCAAGGACTGAATAAAGGGTACCATATCTGGGAATCAGAGGTCCGATACAGATATAACAAAATATACACCTAATAGATGGTTCATATAAGAAGACACATATCTAGTTAAATCAAAATTCAAAAAGGAAGATAAGATACCTCTGAACTTCGATTTGTTTTTGTATTCAAATTGAATTGGTTTGAAAGGACTGAAAATATTATCCCATATCAGGGATTTTTTCAATGTTGATAAAACTTTGCACGTCTCTCCTGTTATAAACAGCTTATGCAAAGAATATCTCGTTACGTCTACATTTGACTTCCGATGCCACGAGACAGGACCATGTATTTCGTTTTAAGTGCAATATTGGAATTTCGCAAAGTGTCCCCCTTTCAATATTAATCAAACTTGGCATGTGTCTTCTATAATGACTCGTCTACTTGGACATCGTACAACATAGACGACACCTTCAACAAGCGAGTCTTCAACACAGGAAGACATCATATACATACAAGAACATCAACTTCACGCCAGGGTATATTCACCTCAGAAGGACATCGTCAACACACAAGGATATATGCAACACACAAGGACACCATCAACCAACAAGGGCATCGTTATCATTCAAGGTTAATGTCAAATCAGAAGGACATCGTCAACACACAAGGGCATCGTTATCACACAAGGCCATCTTTATCACACAAGGGTATCGTCAACACAAAAGGGCATCGTTTTCACACAAGGATATTATCAACACACACGAATATCGTTTACACACTAGGATATCGCAAACAAATATGTAAATCTTCAATACAGTAGAACATCGTCAACACACAAGGGTATCTTCACTTCAGACGGACATCGTCAACACAAAAGTGCATGTTCAACACACAACGGTATGTTCAACACACAAGGACATCGTCAACATACAAGGGTATATTCAGCACACAAAGGCATCGTCATCATTCAATGGTATCTTCAACACACAAGTACATTCATATAAGACAAGGGTATCTTTTACACAGAAGGAAATCTTCAACGCACAATAATATCGTAAATACTTTAGGATATCGCCAACAAATACGTAAATATAGGACATTCATTACAGAAGGACATCGTCAACACATTACGGTATCGTCAACACACAACGGCATCGTAATAATACACGGGTATAATCAACAAAGAGGGATATCGTCGACACAGAAGGGTATCTTCAACACAGAAGGATATCGTCGACACACAAGGGTATTTTCATCACAGAAAGATATCGTCAACACACAAGGGTATCTTCAACACAGAAAGATATCGTCAACACACAAGGGTATCTTCAACACAGAAGGATATTGTCAACACACAAGGGTATCTTCAACACAGAAAGATATCGTCAACACACAAGGGTATCTTCAACACAGAAGGATATCGTCGGCAGACAAGGGTATCTTCAACACAGAAGGATATCGTCGACACGAGGGTATCTTCAACACAGATGGATATCGTCGACACACAAGGGTATCTTCAACACAGAAGGATATTGTCGACACACAAGGGTATCTTCAACACAGAAGGATATCGTCGACACACAAGGGTATCTTCAACACAAGAATATCGTCGACACTTAAGGGTATCTTCAACACAAAAGGATATCGTCGACACACAAGGGTATCTTCAACACAGAAGGATATTGTCGACACACAAGGGTATCTTCAACACAGAAGGATATCGTCGACACACAAGGGCATCTTCAACACAGAAGGATATCGTCGACACCCAAGGGTATCTTCAACACAGAAGAATATCGTCGACACACAAGGGTATCTTCAACACAAGAATATCGTCGACACTTAAGGGTATCTTCAACATGTGCTTTGGTTATTTCCATATTTTAGTTTTCCTTCAAGATTTTGTGTGGGGTTTTTTTGACAGCTATTCTATTTATATAACTTATTGCTGGGTCCCTCAGTAAAGTTAACTATTCAAAGTATTTGTTAAATCATGAGAGATATGCTGTCATAACGACTATGCGTGGCTCATCTGATATTCAAAGATAAAGTTCCAGGAAAACCTTTGTTCCGTGTGCTTCCCGCAAGTCATTTGTAAACATGTATAAAACATATGTCTGTAAAATAAAAAAATCATCTACAACAACGTTCAAGACATTTAAATCTTCGTCTGTTGTAGTTACGTCCATGCTAAAAAGGATTTCATTCTTTCCTGTTTGAGTTTCCATCACAAGTTTAAACTTGTAAATAGATTGAACTATGATATGATTATACAGAAGAGTTACAGTTGTGGGATCGCACAACGTTACACGATGTGCGGTGTGCGCACGATGTATGCACGGTGTGTGAACGGTGTGTGCACGATGGGCGAACGATAAAAAACTGGACGATTATTGCTTGCGCACGATGGACGGACGTTGTGCGATGACAATCGTGGTTGGTGTAAATTGAGGAATGCCTTAACAATTTATACGGTTTCGTGTTTAAACATATAAACTTGGTCTTTACGTATGTTTCTATATTCTAGCAACATCTGTCAACTTATTTTTCTGTCTATACATTCTTCTAATTAGAAATCATGTTTTCTGTGTTTTTAAACAAACTTAATCGACACAGGTAAAATTTCAACACATAAACCGTATCGGAGACGTATAATACGTATTATACGTCTCTGCCCGTATACCGGTAAACATAACCACTTTATACATGTACCTGGACCGTAGTTTTCTCCCCGCCTGGGGCACTTATATAGGTAACCCGTCGGGTAAGGCCGGGGTTGTGAAAATCCAGATGAAGGGGAGCTATAGGCAAACGAATGCAAATAACAAATACTATTCATTACGGTCAAACGATATCGCATATCAGCTCTGTGTGTCAGGCACTGGTCAGGCAAAACTCCGGACACTCATAAAATTGTTATTTACCTATTCTGTTACCTTGGAGCCAAACCCATTCTTGACAGCCTAACGGTCGCTGTATTTCTGTGTAACACGCATTGAAAATTGTATAATCTTGATTTCTGTGATGAGAAATTACAGATATATACACAGTGTACATTATCGCATACAAGCCTTCCGTATTTTTGTCATTCCGTAATTTTGATCTACAAAGGATACCAAATCGCACAGTTGTGCGGAGAGAAGCGCACAAGGGGGCGAACGATTGCTAAATCGCACAGTTGTGCGCACCATGTGTGGACGATGTGCGGACGGTGTGTGAACTATGTATGCACGGTGTGCACACGCTATTTTTGGTGCGTTGTGCGGTCCCACAACTGTAACATTCCAACTACTGAATGTAGAAGATTTTTGATCTTTTCCGGTATGTGTTCTTTTCAATCAATCAAAACCGTAGACTAAAGCTTCTTTTGACCAATCAAAGTTGAGCTCACTTATTTTATTTGAACCAATCTAATCCTACAACTGTAACTTCTATTGACCAATCAAATGCTAGCTTACATATGCATTTTACCAGTCAATACTACTCCAATAGTATATTAACCAACGACTGTAACTTTGACCAATCAAAGGGCAACTTTAAAGTGCATTTTACTGTCGATACTACTCGACACCGCATAGATAACACTCTAACATGTAAGCCAAAAAAATCAATAATTCCATAAAAAAATGTTTCGAAGAGGAAAAAACCCAGAAGAAAATGTCTAAATAAATAAATGCCTCTAAAATACGAATCTCGCATCTAAAAAACTAAACTAGCATCAAATCTCCATGATTTTCAAAGTGGGGGAAAACCCTCGGCTAGTCTCTGATTTTACTAAATTTTAAGAACCTTTCGATTGTATTTCCTTCTCCTATACCTTTTCATTAAATCTTTCAAAATTTTGTCATCAATAGTTCGTTAACATAAACCGTCAAGTACATATGTGTTTTGAATTGATAAGATCATGTACCATTTGCGATGGCACAAGGGATCGTAAAAATCACACGATCCAATAGGTAAAAATTAATTATATATAATATACCTGACTGACTCTAATCTAAGGCAACAGCTGTATTTATGAGCTTTACCAGATATTAACTGATAAGTACGAGCGACAGGAGAATACATAACTATTGATAGTATAATGAGTATAACTTATAGTTTAAGTTACTGCTCAGAAACATTTTAACGAGGACTGACGTTTGTTTTTAAACATGTGTTATTGCCGATACCATTAAACAAGGGATTTGGCAAAAGTTATTACAATTTATCACAGCCTTTTCCCGTCATACAATGTACATTTTCATTTCCATGACAACCATTATCATAGGCATAAACATAATTAAGATATATATAATGTTCACGCAGATACAAATACACAACTTAAAAAACACCGTTCAAAATATATCGCTGGTTTTGATGAAGTGATTTACATGTCTAAAAAACATTAGAGTTAAGGACCACCAAAAGATCTAAACTGCATAACAAAAGAAGCTCTAAATTTAAGTCTTTACCTAAGGCATTCACATTTTGAAACAAAATACGCCTCTCATTGCTAAAACGTTGACACAGTAAAAGGCATTCTCACATGGTGTCCACCGATGTAAACTGGACTTTCGATTAACACTATAAACTCTATAAAGGTCATACTATAGGGAACTACACTTGTGCCTCAGTTTAATAGAAAATAGGAGGGGATCGCTGTACATTTGAAGTAAGAGTGTTTTTAAATAAATGTAAAGAAGGCAACGATCGTACTTATCGATAAATCCATCGAGTTTCAGTTACGAGCATGCATTTGTTTTTGCACCGCAGGTGTTGGAACTTCTGTACAAGTTACCGGGAGGCGACGGTTTGATTACCTCCCCTTGCCAGCTGGATCCATGAGTGATAATGACGTGATTAAGAAACCACGTGCCAAAGGTCTTGGAGACTGCAGCCTACAGTGTCACTGTGACGTCACGTGTCGCTCATTCTACTACAGCAACGAGGACAAAGGTTGTGAAGCATACAGTGTCACCGTGACGTCACGTGTCGCTGATTCTACTACAGCGACGAGTACAAAGATTGTGAAGCATACAGTGCCAATAGGTACAGCCAGCTGAAGTTAAACGTAGGCGAGCAGTCGATTTCGGAGAAACAGTATCTCTACTACTTTGACATGAGTGAGTGTAACCTAATATGTCACTGTTACTAGAAACATTTTTGTTCCGTTTGAGTTCATTTTTTTTCCGTTTGAGTTTTCAGAAGCCGAACTGAATTTATACCAAGCACATTTAATACATGCATATGTAACTATTCCTTACAAACAAAGACGGGTGATCTGAAAGGATCGTTTTTATTTTTATTCGCAATTATTTTAGTAAAGGATTTTGAACCCTTTAAAATATTTTAAAACATAATATGTTTGGGTAACATGACATAATAAATATACCATAAGATAACTGAATTGTTTAGTTTATGTTAATGAGTGTCTGCAGTGAAATACGGAATTATGAAGCTGTCTTTTGTTTTGCGAATTCGAAGAAAATCGCACAAGGTTATTCATTTTCAAGTTATTGATATAAAAGAAATCATTAAGTTTGTTTTCCCCTTACAGCACTTGTTTCATCATTATATGCTGATTTCAAAATATAGATAAAAGCTACATGCAAAAATACTAATGTATAAACACGCGTTCTACAAAACTCATAAAAGATACCAATTAATAGAGTTCTGTACATGCAGAACAATTTATAAACATGATGACACAATAATTCTACAAACAGTGCTTTAAGGCATGAAATTTACAGCTTTAACAGAACTCTAGTGATATATAGATATCAAAAGAAATGTAAACCTGAATGTTTCAGCTAACATAGACATGTACATGACGACTGACCCGACAATCAGACTGATTTACAAGGTCAGCACACGGAAGTATACCAAAAAGGATGCCATGACAGCTTGTGCTGACCTCGAGATGCGACTCCTAGTGGTCAACTCTGTAGTTAAACTCAGTCTCGTACAGAGTGTGGTGCCGTCCAGTCTTATTCTAGGTACAGTGTAAGTTACAGTCGTGTTGGTACGCTTAACTCGTGAGGCCTCTAAAAGTCCAAAACTATATACATTTTTTAATCGTGCAACATTTTGTTACCGATTTTGAAATCAATCATACGTAAAATAATAGAAATAACAAAATTAGTAAGCCGGATATACATGTTTCAATAACGACAATCTCAGCAACGATAAGTAATAGCACATGTTGAGGTTGCAAACGTGAAAATGAAAATATTGATGAGGCAGAGATCGAGGTTGAACCTTTATCATTTCATAATTTAGATTTTATGATAAAGAATAAATCATAATATGAACCCAAATAAAGAAACACTTTTGGGAAGTCGGTACTTTTCTTTAACTGGGCATCTCTGTCGCATTGCACAACAGGCAAAACACTAACTGACTCCAGTGTAAATTGTCGTATATACAGCAATATCCCCTTAATGTCGCTGTGGATACAGCTGTGGCGCCACTGGTCAAGGTAATTTCTGCTGACCAGCGGCAGGTATCTCTATTGGTTGGAGCAATAGTGTAATGACTTAAAGTCACGTTTTCGAAGCCTTTTCTGGACTCATTTTTTTTTCACACAACACACTGCTGACCGTTTTTTCCATCCTTATTTTTATATTTCACATAAATAAACCACTTGAAAAGGTTAAAACGTCATCAAACGTTTTTCTGATGTTGTTTTAATTCACTACTGGTGAGAATTCTTCACAATATTTATGACAGAACAACGACGACTGGGGGTGAGTGGAGGATGGTATGAGGTGGACGGGATGACAAAATGGTGGGACGGGGGAGACCCACCTCAGCCTCTCAGTGACAAACTCGTGCAGTGGGACACAATGGAGAGCCCTGACTTCTTACAGTCTCTATTTTACACTAAACAGAAAGTCCGAAGCGGAGATTGTACAATAAAACTGTCCTCGATCTGTGAAAAATGATACAAAGGGCGATTTCGGACCCAAAGCCTGTTTCGCTACAGTATCCTGTATTTTTTCATTGTCACCAAGAAGTGCTTAACATTTACTAAAATAGAATTTTAATTACAAATTAAAATACGATATGTATTATTTAAATAGGATTCGATAATAGAGTCTCATTTAGTGTTTATTTCTCTGCTGAATTCCACATACAAAACTTTATTTATTTATTTTACAACAATTATGAAACAAGTTATGTTAACGTATACTAATCACTCTTGTTACCCCGGATATTGGCGCGCGAGGGGGTCTTTGTGTAAGAGGAAACCGGAGTACCCGGAGAAAACCCGCGTGACGGGCAGGTGACCCCATACGTTTTCACGTCCTATCGGGGAATCCAACCCCGGCCGCCTTGGTGAAAGGCAAGTGCGCTATCCACTGCACCACCCGACCACCCGTTGAATTCCTTATCAAAACTTTTCTCAGTCGTCGCATTAGAACGTCCGGTTATGTTGCACCGTATATGAAGCAGCGTCACTACAATACAAAATGTGTGACGCACGTACGTCTCTTAAGTTATAAGCGTTTTATGTTTGATGTGAGCCGTGCCCCTGATATGTTTCAAATGGCCATACAACAAGTGTTGCAAGGCTGTGAGGGAATGCAAGTCATTAGTGTTAATTGAGCAGGGTAGTAGTCGGGAGGGAAATATCAGAAGAGGCTGAGAGAAGCAGTGATACTCCTGAAACGTGTCGGGAATGACATTGAACAGTTGGATAACCTTACATGAACCAAGAGGGCGGTGACTATTTTCTTTGCTCCAATATTATTTTTGAAATATGGCATTGTTTTCGTGGACTGTTTCTTGGGTAGCACTGTGTTCAACCGGAAATATACTTTTTGTAGCTGTTTATATCGCCTTTTCATCCCTTTGTTACTGTACCTGTGTTGTAAGTGTATTTGTGCTTTATATAGACATTTTACATGAAAGTTATGTGAAGTGTGCCTCTCGCCATCTTTCTGTCACGGTCTACCGCCTTACGAACTCACATTTTTAAAATGGATGCACATCTAAGAAACGTAGAGTCAATAATAGTGCTGAATCTCAATCTATTAGTACAAGTTTTAAGGAGGTTAATGGGGTATTGCACGGAGCTAAATCCGAGGCCCATGTTACATGTAACACCAAGCGTGAACCCTGTACATCCATCCCACTGCTGTGTTATCTGTTAAGACAGCTCAACGCTGTACATAGAAAACGTGATTGTCTTTTCTCAAAGATTCAGAAGTTAGACATTATAGAACATCAAGTAAACAACATTGATGCTTTATTATCTACAACTATAAAAAGAGTGAAAGCTTTTGAGATGAAAATAACTGAATTTGAACACTCAGTCGCCTTTGTTGCGGATTAATGTGATTTTTTTTTTAAACAAACTGTGTTGGAATAGAACAGCCTTTTCGACGTTTACAAGAACAACAAGATGAAATGGACGCTATAAATGACAAGATAGAGGGAATTATTGATGATCGAAATAGACTATCGGACATAGTGACCGATCTTTAATGTCGATCTATGAAGAACAACTTGGCCTTTACATGTCTTGGTGGCGAATCTAGGCAAGAAGTCACGGATGATAAACTACGCGACATCATATTCTACGAACGGTAATATCCATAGATAGTTAGGAACAATGTTCGTGGAAAACAAAGACCAATACAAGCTAGGTTCATATACAATCAGGACCTCCCATAGAGTGAAGAATAAATCATACAACCTACTAGGTATTCATGAACACTTTCCCGCCGGTATTTAGGACCGCCGTACAATCAGACTTGTGTGGCAGGCTATACGCAAATAGCAAACTATATGATGGTGATCACGAAGCTCGTGGTATAGGTTGGGCAGTCGGCCCAGGCGGCCACTCATGCTGTTACAGTTGCTGCAGGTAACTCACGTAATTGTTTATAGAACCACGCGGAGGGTTATGCGCAACCGTGTACGGCTGAGCGAGACCTATCGTTACTGTCATTGAACATTGGGAACTACCTGTTAGGCAAGCTCTCTCAATAGATCTAATTTCGACAATAACGACATTGTGTGTCTAAGTGTTGTTGGTTATCTGAGAAAGATGAATTTGAGTAAGATAGTTAAAGTATATAGTTTTTCCCGAAGAAACTATATCTGATAATGTTCAAAAGAAAAAAATATTCAGCATGAGCATAAACCGTGGTTTAATTTTCCATGTAGGCAGAAATATAAGGCATACAAAGATGCCTTACATACGTTTAACAGTTTTAAAATGTTGATAACCATGGTGTATTACTAGAGACAAAACCCTGATTATAGGAATTTGAGTTAAGACTGAAAAGAGAATATCAGCGACAGGAGGTTGATATGATTGAATCTCTGAGAAAACAAAACCCAATTTATTTTTAATACTTTTCGAAACGAAATTAAGTATCAAACAATATTTTTTTTAGAAGAAAATAATGAATATGTCGTATCATGTATTTGAAGAACTAGACGCTCACATATTACAGAAAATGAAGCTTCTGCAATACATAAACTGAATAGAAATAAAAGTTTTGGTCAGGACAACACGCTTAGTGAACTTTTATTGATTGCAAAGGTATACTGTTCCATATTTACTAACAGTTTTTTAATTCTATTTTACCAATGTAGGGGTTTTCCCTGAAGCTTTATAAGAAAGGCGATATAGAATATACATTTAATGTCAGGGGTATTACTCTCGTCAGCTGCATGGGGAAGTCGTTTACCTCCATATTGAATGAACGACTAGTGCATTGTGATATTAAAATTTTATAATACATGTATCAGATGCTCAATTTGGTTTTAGACCCGGACATTCAACTATTGATACAATATTTGTCCTTCATACTTCAATTAATAGATACTGAAGTAAAAATGGTGGACAACTTTATTGTTGCTTTGTAGATTATAAGAAAAAATTGATTTACATGTAATTAACAGATCTCATATGTGGTGCAAATTCATTAAGGAGGCAACTATAGGGAAAATTTAACGTATATTTCAATCGTTGTATTGTTAAGTAACGTCGTGTGTAAAGCACAAAATTCCCTTCAGGAAAAGACCTATTGTGTATTTGAAGAAAGGCTGAATACAACTTTTTATTCAGGTTGAAGTTTTGTCATACTTTCCATAATCCATGAACGTCAATGACTGTGAAATTTATTTTATAAAAGAAAGTTGTCCATCTACCTAAATTGATTTGATTAAAACAATTCTTGTACTTGTAATGATTTAGTTTATTGGCAGTTTCGAAGATAAACATTAACTGTATATAGAAAACTACAAATATTTAAATAATTGCATTTAAAGAACATGTTACGAGGAAATAATTTTGTCTAATGAAAGGCAGGAAATATTAACAAACATCCAAACAACTCCGTTAGGTTTGCTTTATCGACATCGGATTGATTTTTTTTCTCTGCAATATATCTAAAAAACAACAACGTCGTGATAGCACTGTTTAATCTTTAATCCATTTTTTGTTGTAAATGTTCATTTCAGTATACCGTATTTCATGAAATATTGTATTATGTGTATTGTGTATTATGTGTATTGTGTATTATGTGTATTGTGTATTATGTGTGTATTGTGTATTATGTGTATTGTGCAGTATGTGTATTGTGTGTTATGTGGATTGTGCAGTATGTGTATTATGTGCATTGTGCAGTATGTGTATTGTGTGTTATGTGGATTGTGCAGTATGTGTATTATGTGCATTGTGCAGTATGTGTATTGTGTGTTATGTGGATTGTGCAGTATGTGTATTATGTGTATTGTGCAGGATGTGTATTGTGTATTATGTGTATTGTGCAGTATGTGTATTATGTGTGTATTGTGTATTATGTGTATTGTGTATTATGTACATTGTGTATTATGTGTATTGTGTATTATGTGTATTGTGCAGTATGTGTATTGTGCAGTATGTGTATTGTGTATTATGTGTATTGTGCAGTATGTGTATTGTGTATTATGTGTATTGTGTATTATGTGTATTGTGTAATAAAATGATTGTACTCGTTAGTTAAAATTCCCTATGTGATATAAAATATATAGGAAAATAAACATAATTAACATTACTTCCAAACACCGACGCATATTTTCTATATTGTAAGTAATATCACTGTCACTAACATGTTACAATATTTACATTTGTGTTGCAGTGCCTCTAGATAACAGTACTTACTAAAAATGTTTGCATGATTCAATAAAAGCAAGTGTGTAGTAATATTAACAGTACTACATGTACCGTTACATGACCTCTGGCCCCCAACACACACACAAACAAACCAAAACAAGATTGTTTACCAACGGTTAAAATACATGTACATATATTTTAATTATCCTTTTTTTATATTATCAACAAGAAATCACTCTGAAATTTAAGTCCGCGTATTCAGCGTCTAAAATACATCGTGCGCTAACTCCAGTCACTGACATTTTTAACGAACCCCTGTGCTCCAGCCAATATGTTTGACAGCGACGTCGCGGACGTGTCCCTTGAACATGGACTGACTGTGGTTTTGAATCAAGGCACATCATGTTTATGGCGGGCCACCGAAGCGTGTTTGCTATAAGATCCTAAAACACTTTCTTTTCAACAGAACAGAATAAGTCACTGTCCTCTAGAATCTACACTAGCGTTCGTTGCAAGTGGCGAAGCAGGTGAAATCGTCCCGGCTCTTCGGCCAGTCCCCTCATCGATAGTAATACATATGCCGAATGCTCAAACGATGAGCTAGTCCTGTTGACACAGTCGATCGACACACGAATTCAGCCAACAGCATCTTTTAAATCGTCGTCTGGTTTCTAAGGAAACTCCACAATTCACGGATGCACTTTCTATCTCGTTGAAAGTCGAACCGCTTCCTTGCCTGATGAGCGTGTTTTTTAACGGTCAGCTATCTCCGCGAACACGGAATAAATTTCTGACTTTTTGCAACTAAAATAATTTACATGGTATTTTTGTTTTAAATTTAGATCTGTCAAATGTTAAGATAATCAATACTTGTTTACGTGCTGGTAATGTAAATTGAATTATTAAGAAATATGCAAAGTGGAACTATTTGTTTATTGCTCAACTGTGTATTTCGTCACCGTTGACAACGCGTCATCTTTCCCGCGAAAAGGCTGTTCAGTTAATGTTGTTGTCCTGACAGTGTTTTGCTTTTTTAACGTGAAAAAGACTATTTTTTCTTAATTTCAAATAATAAAAGTGGATGTCATGGAATGTAAATATAAGGTTTAAAACGCATCGTTTTAACATTTATGAGGGTATGCAATATAGTTCCGTTCAAACATATTCTCCAAGATGCGCTAACGCGCATCATGGAATACATTTAAGCGGAACTGTGTTGCATACCCTCATAAATGTTAAAAAGATGCATTTCAAACCTTAAATGTAATAACTACACTATGACAGTAGATTTTATTGTCTATTACTGTTCTGCTAGAGTGCATTTCACCGTGATATACGGTTCGTCTGTGAGATACAATGTATTATATCTTGGTAACATTTCCTGTAACCTACAGCATTGAAAGATACTATAGTATTATTATCATTGTTATATACTGTCTTGTTATGATGTCACAATATCATACTTTACGGGTTTGGTGTATTTCAGTGTAATATGCCCTTTATCATGATGTATGTTCTTGTGATGTACTGCACGTTTAAGGTGTATTTCATTGTAATCTACTGTATTGTTACCACGTATGTCATTGTACTATATGCAATATCATACTGTATTCTACTATAATTGTATACTTGTATCATTCTAGATTTGTAATATACTGTATTATTCGTATGTCATTGTATATCTTCTCTCCGATGTGTTTTACACAAGGAATAACATTAACTGAATATGAATGTGAACAGTGAACAGTTTGAGTTTAACGTGTTTACCGGTCGGGAATGAGCTTAATTGGATAGGTAGATTTGCATGGAAGTAAATGTAGACTAGTGATTCCGCGGTCCTGGAGGAATCGTGTCCTCGAATTAGCTCTTGAGGGTTACCCTGTAACTGTTGTTACATAATGTATAACAATCAGAATCCTAAGTAAAGTTTGGAAGCCAGCGATTGGCAGTGAAGTGTTATTTTTCAATATAACCTAACCCTGCGGTTAGATATTAGCATTAAGTTGTAAAATACCGTTACTATATTTTGCAACATATCAAATCACAGGGTTTAACAAAAGATTATGTTGTGAAATACATTTGAATATTTGCAACGTATTAAATCACGGGGTTAGCTACGTTGAAAAATAACACTCCAAACACTAAGTAGTAATTTTCATTTTATTTCTATATTTTCAGATAGTTAGAAGAAGAAAGAAGCGTGAGAAAGTTCAAAACACAAATGATGAAAGAGTTAACACTTACTCTGACAAAAAGGATAAAACAGAAGAAATTGACGAGCTACCTCGAACCAGACAAAAACGGCAGGAGTGGCGAAAACTAAAAACGGCAAAAAACAAAAGGGGACAAGACACTGGAAAAGGGGAACAGGACGAAGACGATCGTAACAGAACAAAATCAGACGAATCTGTTCACACTACAGCACATCAGGAATTAAACAGGAACACCGACATTAAACCAGACGATGTGATGGAACAGGATTCACATAGACAAACAGAGGAAATGGAAAAAAGGAATTCGGAAGGGGAGGAGGACGAAGACGATCGTAATAGAACAAAATCAGACGCATCCGTTCACGCTACAGCACATCAGGAATCAAACAGGAACACCGACATTAAACCAGACGATGTGATGGAACAGAATTCACATAGACAAACAGAGGAAATGGAAAAAAGTAATTCGGAAGGGGAACAGGACGAAGACGGTCTTAACAGCACAAAATCAGACACATCTGTTTACACTACACCACATCAGGAATCAAGCAAGAACATCGGCATTAACTCAACCGATGTGATAGAACAGGAGTCATACAGACAAACTGAGGAAATAGAAAACAGTCCTTCTGGAGGGAAACAGGACGAAGACGATCAGGAATCATATCAGGAATCAGACAAGGACGACAACAGTGATCGAGACCCTGATTTCGTAATAAAGAGAAAAGGCTCGGACACAAGTGACAGTGAAAGCGATGTCAAGGATAGTTCATCGGATACGGAATGCCTACCGAGAACACCGGAAAAGTACACGATATTCCAAAAAAGCAAGAAATCTAAATTTGTATCGCAAGTAAGTTTAAAAGTGAAACGTTCCATCATCCCCGTTCCAAGGACAAAATCCAGGGTGCAGACTTCCAAAAATCCCAGACAACGGACTCGTTGCAAGATATGCGATATTGAAGTGGTCGACATGGTGAGGCATCTGCACCAGGCGCACGAAACATTCTCAATATTCGACGTTTTGAAAGCCTCGGCGGAAAATAGGCAGGCAAACAAGAGCAACAACGTACCGTACAAGCATTGCCCTGTGGCGGACTGCCCTGCAAAAGTCTCAAGACTCGACTGCCATTTCAAAACCGTACACGGGTTTTCAAAAGTGAAGTCACACATACTATGCCTGAAGGTCGAACGGACGTCAGTGGATACTAAAGCCACCGCAACAAATCTTCAGCCAATGGCGGAAGTCTTATCCCTGCTTTATTCATTTCTCATCTCTGCAGAGAAGAACAAAGACCCGGACCCTGCCAGACAGCAGTTGCAGCAAATAACACCATTGCAAAAACAATCGAGGCCGAGGATGTCGAATCCTTTCTTAATTCGCAAACATTGCTCGAGAAATGGTTTAATCCATTTAAATAAACGCGTCAACCAGGAACTGTAAAAGTTACTTGGCCTCACTATAAGATTTTCTAGTGTTCTTGCAAATAAGAAATATTTTCGGTGAAGAAGCGCGGGTTCTGAAGATGTCCGTGGACAATTGGACAAAGGCAATCGCAAAAAGACCACGCGAACGTGCAATCGAAAGGCTTGTCACGGATGCGGAGGAAGGGATCTCGACAGAAGAAGTCAATCTTTTCCAAAATTCTGAAGTGGCAAGTGAAGCCAAACAGTTATACATGTCTCTGAAAGACAAACAAATGAAACAATTGGCAAAAGCAGACCACGCCTTGATGAGTTTGTTATTCTACAAATTCTCTTTCAAAACGCCCAGCGACCAGGGGCTATGTGTGGCATAAGCATCAAAACAATATAAAAGGCAACCCCACTTCTTGAAGAAGGCAGCTACATCCTACAGGTGAACCGCCACAAAACCGGTAACCGCACGGTCGCCGTTTTATACATGACGATAGACTTATTCGACTACCTGAAATTATACCTAGATGCAAGGAAAATGACTCCAAGAATAACTGAAAATCAGCTCTCCGACGAAGCGCAGGTGTTCATGCCATGGCCGTCTTAGGACCAGGATTCCCCATCTCCGATTGAGTCTAGCAACATATCAACAGCCATCAATAGAACGTGGACGTCGGCAATTCCAGAGAATTCATCTAGCATTTCTGCCACAAAAATCAGGAAGCTGACAGTCACGGAGGTCAGAAAAAGGTTTCCGGATTCCAGAGATTCGCTCGCGTCTCATATGAGTCATCGACCGTCAACGGCTGATGCGTTTTACGTACTACATCATCGGAAACAGGAAGCTGTAAAAGTGTCAAGAATGATAGACAGTACACTACAACAGAATTGTGAGGCAGAAGATAGTAATTTGGACGACAGTGAACAGCAGGCAGATGATCCCCAGAAAGAGGATAATCCGCAAGAGGAAATTAATCCACAACAGGCTATTTGGTGAAAAAGCTGGTTTGCTAAATGCACACAAGCGCAAGAAAATTCTACGAAAGAGGAGGAGAAATAGAAAATTCAAGAAAAATGTCCCATCTTTGGCAATGGTACTAGAAAGAGATTTGCCAGAGTACGGAATTATGTGTACATGTCATTACGTATTTAAGTCAGGATCTGCCGTCAGCTCCCATGTCCGGAGGTTAAACAAGAACAAAATATGTGAACTTTATATTGTAAAATCAATAGAGTACCCTTCTATATTTTCAAAATGATTAAGTAGGGCAACACCTCTAAACCGTACAGCAGTCTTGACAATTTATGACTGTCTTGTGAACATTACTAGCTTGTACTAAGACTGACAATATGAGGTCTATGCTTTTCACAGGTCTGAATTATGTCTCCCCCTATAATGGTACTAGAAAGAGATTGGTCAGAATACGGAATTATGTGTACATGCCATTACGTATTTAAGTCAGGATCTGCCGTCAGCTCCCATGTCCAGAGGTTGAACAAGAACAATCAGTTATCACTAGAATAGACAACCTAGACACTTTGTATTAAGATAATAAACTTGATGACTGTATTCAGAAGTTTTAACTTGATGCATGTAATACTACTTACCTAGTATTACAAGGTCCCGGATTCATTGTCGTTGTGTTTAAATCAGGAACAACAAGTGGTAACTGACGACAAGATCCCAGCCAACTGGGAGTCACGCCATTTTGTCGGGAGCCGCCAATGATTGAGTTTTACATAAGTCGAGCTTCGGATTAATATTCCCGTGTTGTAGCACCATAAAGAATCGGTGGAAACCCTATCACAAGGGATAGACCAGTGGGTTGGGTTTGACCAGTGGGTTGAGATAGACCTGTAGGTTAGAATAGACCAGTGAGTCAGGATAGGGTTAGGGTTAGGACCAAGATATCATAAGCGTTACTTTACTAGCACAGTGTTAGGGTTAGATGATGGTGTCATATAGCACAAGTCATCACCCAATTAGCATATAAGATATCGAATCAGCATAACCAGGGTTAGGGTTAGGGTGTGCTAGTAGTAACTTTCTTGTGCTATAATTGATACAACTTATGCTTATTTGGTAACTCCTAATGCGTCGTTTGATATCTTGCAGTTTCAGACGAATCCAAGAAACCATAGACTAGGAGGCGTAAAAGAAAGATATGACCCCCAGAGGCCAACTCGATTTGCACTCTTCTACTTCTAGAATATAACTTCCGGTCACTCGATTTGTAGCTCTTCTGCTTCTGGAGGGTCTTCTACCTCTGCCGTCTCGGAGCGGGAAGATTTCTATTCCAAGATGGCGGCGACCATGTTTAAATGTGCGACATGTGGGGTATTGATTTTTACTAGAGAAGGTTTCATGGCACATGCGTGTACAGGTTTGTGTTACAGTGTTAAGCAGGTTACAGTTATCCTTCGAACGCATTTTAGAAGTTCTAAGGTTAAGAGTCGTTTCGTTTTTGTAACAATGCGTGGTGAAATCGGGTTCTCCAAAAAAACACGCATAGAAAGATTTTTATATAAAATTAGAGTCTAGTAATTTATTGTCGTTAATATATGTTAAGATGTATCGGATGTTTTACTAGTCCCATAATATAAGACGCTATTAAGGTTCATATCGTGGATTTTTAAATTTTTAATTATTATTGGATACTAGTATGTTAATTTTTTATTTACTGTGCTGTATGTAATAAAAAAACGATCACAATATGAACCTTATAAGTATTATGAATCACAGGACTAATGTTTTTATTTACACTCTTTTGGAAAATATTTTTATTGTTATCAAATTTTATTGTTAAGTACATTTTCTTTCAGATACCCCAGCAAGTGCAAGTATTAAAGTGGAAAGTGCAAGTACAAGTACAAGTGATACAGCTGGCAGCAGCACTAATAATAAATTAACATGGACAGACAGTAAGAGCAGGACATTATTACACCTGTACAAGGACAGACTTGATGGGTTCAACAGTTTCTCTGTTAAAAACAAGGGACTATGGGAGGAAATAAAAAACATTATAAACAAATCCACCAACTCCTCCTTCACAACAACACAAGTTGAAGGCAGGTACAAAACTATTTTGGCCGCCTACAGGAAATATAAAGACAACATGAAGAAGACAGGGGCTGCCAGAAAAGACTTTCAATTTAGAACAGAAATGGATGAAATAATGGGTGACTCTCATTCAATTACCCCAAAGTTTGTTTTTGGAAGTGCAGAATTGGCTGGTCCCAGTACTAGTGCAGAATTGGCTGGTCCTAGAAACATCTCATCGGACAGCGATGGCCATGACTCAGGTGATGACATATTACAAGGAAGTGATGAAGGTAAAAGGAAAAAGAAGGGTTGTAAAAAACAGTTTAAAAAGAAACGAACATCTGGTGCAATTCAAATGATTGAATTCCTTGGTAGGTTCACCAATAGATTAGAAAAAAAGAGATGAAGATGCTAAGAAAAAGACTGATGATGCACAGAAAAAGGCAGATGAAAGACACAATGAACAAATTAAAATGATGCAAGGACTAACAGCAGCTTTACATAGTTTTGCGAAGTCGTCAGACAAAAAGAACTGAACAAAATAATGGTACTAGCTAGTTAATATTGATTCACTGTTCATAATGGTCTTTTGTTCTTCTCTGAAATGGGTATTACACTAATTGGAAATTAATTATTAATTACAAATTATAAATATTGTACGATACATCTATAACAAAACTATTGTGACGTCACAAATACTTTATGAAGTCACAATATATATGATTTGGCACATTTGTCTGAATTTTTTTTTTGAAATTCCAGGCTCATATAGAAAGAAATTTTGAAATTTTGACTGATATCTTCATAAAACTGAGTTATGTGATAAACAGAATCTTTTTACTACATGATAGGAAAGTTATAAAACTTGTTAAGTAATTTGATAGTCACTACTAGCTCGCCTCAATTAATTGAAATCATGTTCATTTAATAAATTTCATAACATATATATTATAGTCACACATGTAATTAAAGATCCTCCATTTACTCTGATTTCGCATTTCAGACTTCAGCCAGGATTCTTCAGATGCAGAAACAGTGATGGTTGATGATAATGAAACAGACAGTGATGGAACATTAACAGGACTTCCTATTTCATGTGTATGGAAAAGGTGCAGTTAGAACTTAGAAGTGGATTTCTTATATGATCTTGCGACAATTTTTTAGTTTCTTTTACATAAATTAACAGCAGGTAGCTGATCATGATCAAAATGGACTGAACTGATGTTCACCTTAATAATTCAAAGAGTTTGTGGAAAACTATATTTCCTTACAGTGTAAGAGTACACAAAATTGTGTGTATAAAATGCAATAATACAAATATATACTTCATTTTATTTTGTGTGTGTGCGTGTGTTTAAAATGTTAAATCTTAGAGATTCATTCGTTTCTTATTATGTTAACGTTACAGATAGTAACTTCTAGTCAAATATATAGCTTCATAATTAAACTCATTTGTGATAACTCATTGTTCTTTTGTCTTAATTGTATCCTGAAAGAAGTCTTCATATTAACTCACTGTAATTCATAGCTGAAGCTTCCATGTTTTACTCTACGCACCTTTTACAAGTTAACTAACTGCCAATGATGTATTACATCATGATGATATCACCTAGTATTCATTAACTGACGAGTAAGTAGCATGCGTTTCAATGTCCCTTCAGCCTCATCTGCAGGAATATTTATGCAAATAATGTGATCTTCAACTGCTGCTTCAATATTATCATCAAGTTCATCTTCATTTAAGATACAGATATTGTGCAAAATGCAGGATGTTACAACAGTTTTTACTATATATTCAATGCTATGCAAGTTTATGTGTTGAAGTCTACGAAATCGCCCTTTCAGCATGCCAAATGCATGCTCGATGACAGTTCGAGTACTACACAATGATTTGTTGAAAGGTTTTTCAGCATTTGTTAAATGGCCTGTGTCTCTGTATGGCTTCATTAAAAATCTCGAGAGTGGATATGCACCATTACCAATTATATGATTTTGTCTAACTAAAGCAGGAAGATTTTCACTCAAATGGAAATTTCGGAATACACGGGCATCATTGACTCGTCCTGGCCAGCCACAGTAAATATCTGTGAACGCATGGTCATTCTTGCACACAGCTTGTAATATAATGGAATGAAAGTTTTTGTGGTTTGCATATGCTGGTTCGTTATCACTTGGTGGGGTCATTCGAATATGGGTTCCATCTACTGCACAAATTGTACCAGGAAATCCCTTCACACTTTCAAAGGCTCTTATCACTTCTTGTTTTTCAATGTCATTAGGCCACTTGACAAACTTCTTGCACAGATATTTACAAAAAACATCTAAAGGTCTCCTGTTGTGGCATATAAAAGTAGACTCTTGCACATCAAACCTATCACATATTGATTTTACAGTTTCCTGAGTCCCTAAAAACCAGAGGGTCATAAGTAATTCACTTTCAAGTGAAATTTGTGGTCTACCAGCTTTAGTTTGTCGTCGTGCAAGTTCAGGTATAGTTGCTAAATGATGAATAAGTACCTAAAATGTTTCTTGAGAGAGTCTAAAAAATCTTTTGAAGTCATCAGGTAGATAATTATGCACCACATCCTGGACATAGTTTTCAACTTTTTTCCTGTCATCTCGGTTTCTGTAAGAAACAAATTTAAATGCAGAAATAAAAGAGACAGCCACGAATTCATATTGTTTGTAATGATAACTTTAATAATGTATACAGATTAAGCAAATTAACTCAATACTTTACATTTTTGTTATGGTTGTCTTGAATTAATATTAAAGAAATATTTCGTACTTGCCATAATCAATTCTTTTCTTTACAGTGCATTACAAATTCTTTGATTTAAATAATAATAATAATTTATTCAGACAAGACATGATTATTTACATTCATTTTCCCATATTATAAAATTATTTGTCACAAATTGTGTAAGAATTAGGCCTAAATATCAATATGAAATAAATAGGACTATTATTCAAAGCCCACGGCGTCAATATACATACATGATTAAATAATGGCTCTTTAACCGTGTTATACATGTACGTTACTTACACAGCAGCGCATACTGCTGTTATAGCTATCAGTTCGGCATAATCGCTATCACTGACGTCTGTAGCTAATGGTTCTTCAAAGTCTCCAAATAGAGTCCCAGCCATGCCAAGGGTCACGACGATATCCGCCATGTTGTTTTGAAGAAGATCTTCCAGCGAACTCGATTTACTTCCCTTCTGAGAAGAGCGCAAATCGATTTGACCTCGGCAAACGTGTCATCCTGCATGGTGATAGAGATTTTCCCAGATGCCATCCCGGCGAAATATAGCAGGACGGAACATTTTTTAACGAGTCCGGGAAAATCACCGAATAGTTCTTCAAAGCTTTCCGAGGCAGATGCACCATCCGATACAGATGAACTATCCGAGGCAGACGCACCATCCGAGCAAGATACATCATCCGAGCCGTAAAATCCCCCAAATGAGATGCTTTCCTCCGACTGTGATGAATCCCGACCCGGAGGAAGATGAATCGCCAACAGTCGAAAAAGGTGCATGACATCCGGTTGTTCTGCAAATACCTGCAGTCGGTCGAGCATTTTAAAAATATATCAAGATAGCTAGCACGCTCGCCAGATCCACGAGATTTGGACAAATTGTCCGGGTTCAGGAAACCATCTAAAAGATTTGATGAACGTGGACTACTTGATTGAAACATGGGTCCTTGAGGCCCTTGAAAGTTCAAAGCAGGGACAGTGAAAAGTTATCTTTCTAGCTACCGCCTCTTTCTGAACTTCAAGGCCGTTAAGAAACTCTACGGAACCAGTGATATCAGCATTATAAAACTAAGGGTTAACAGGCTGACTAAAACCTTAAAAAAGAGAGTGGGACAACGTAACACAGGGGTGGCCACTCGAGATAATGATGGGCAACCTCATTCTGCGCATAAATATGACCAATAGTTCGCGGGCAGGGGCAATACTTGGCATTACGGAACAAGTGATGTGCAGAGCCAGGAGAGAAAGGGACGGAACGGTGCTCCGAGTAACTGCTCACAAGACGAGCGCGTAAAGGTTGGCAGCACTTTTCGATTATCTCCAAACTTACATCTGCCTCCCAATCTGGTCGTCGGCCGACGCGGTACTGTTTTCTACACGTTTCCACTTCAGGGTTGCAAACCTGTTGCTTTGAATCATTCAGCTCTTAACAAGCTCATTAACAGGACCTGGTGAACAGTCCACCCCGGAAAATTTATATCAGCAACATTATTCCGGACAATAGTGACCACGAATGTCCGGAAGGCCCAACCTACCTTGCGGTGTGCTTAAGCAGCACACATGGAGCATGCAGCATCAACGAGTGACCGGTACTACAACAGGACCGACCTCGTTGACAACGCTGTTCAAATGTCAAAGGCGATCTCAGATAGGTTGGCGAACCCGAAGGTGCAGGCATCTGCGGCATTAGGTAGAGCCCCGAAAACACACGAAACAACACCAGATGTCCAGACACAGGATATGGCAAGTAAGAATATGCCAGCCGCCACAAGGTTACGGATGCCCAAGCAAAAGGAAACTGCGGAAGAACGTCCAACTCGACAAGAGTTAGTTGTGACAAGAAACAATCCGCTGACCGCTTCTGTGAAGCCCTCGAGAATCGAAGAGGAACTTCCAACCGCACAAGGACAACCAGCATCAGATCTGGCAATCAACTCATCTGACCCTGATTCCAGTCAGAAAGAAAGCACCATTCCGAAACATGGGCGACGAAGCTTTATGAAACAAGAGTCAAAGCTTCTTCGACTCTTTGAAATAGTTTAAACATGAAATCGCTGTCCGCCAAAGATGTCGTGGAATGTCCGACTTCGACAGAGGAAGGGATGAAGCCATTTACAACAAATATAATAAGTTGAAAATGAAATTTGGTCAAGGAACAGACGCAAAAATTACCGACAGAATCAGGACTGAGAAACGTAAAAGGATGAATCGATCGAGTATTTTGAAATATTTAAAAAAATTGTAATAACTAGTGTCCCCTTTAAATGTTTTTGCTTACAAGTAGTAAAGAAGCGAATCAACCAATTTGACCCTAATCCTAAAGTCGCGAGGAAACACCCCAGTTAGGAAGACACCAGCATTGCAAAACATGGGCCCAGTACAGAAACAATTCAATGACAGGATCAGTGACAGGATGAATCTGTTTTAAAATAAAATTGAGTTCAATTTGCATTTTCAAATATTCTTTGTTATTTTTCTGTAGCACTAGATGGCCGTTCAATAATTCAGTTAAGCAGCTATCAAAAGCTTCAAAACCCAATGGAAAATAAAGCACGTGTTTTAGGGAGGTTCATGTTGCATAATCAGCAGTGAATTTTGTTGTAAATGGCTCAGACGTCTTAATACGCACACTTGGTTTCTAAATTTCGACCATTCAGACGCCTCGCCTCCTTTTGGCGTACATTTTGTCAAAACAGACACGGACATTTGTATGATGTTTCTGATGTCCAACAACACCTATATGCCATTTTTTATTGAAATCGGACAATATCTAAATTACGACTAATCAAAGCCTTCATTTGGCAGCTATTTCTTTTATAAAAAAAGGGACCTCACCATTGAATTCTAGAGTCTTTTTTGCTGACCTATTTGTATATTTTATGCTTTGTTATCATTTTTTAATATATGAGTGGAGTGAGTTTATTAATGTTTAAAATCCCTGAAGTATATTATTTCTTTATAAAATAAAAAATAAATGCATGTATAAATCCAAGATAAAACCGACTCGTAAGAAATTCTTGCGTATAAGCTGAAACAGGAATGAACTTACTATATTTGATTTTCTCGGATGCAGTCGAAGACATCCTGAACCACGAACTACGGACCATCAAAGAACCACTTTAAAGAACAATATTTACCCTAAGTCATTAAACTAGTTGGAAGTAATAACATTTGCCTGGATACTTATTACCATTCACATGGAATCCAGACACTACTCAAATTAGAAATAAAAATCCCGTCAGCATTCGAAATAAAAAGGATCTCACTTTTGCAATATGGTGTGCAATTTATTCAAACATGACTTAACATTAACTATACTATGTCAGATCTAATTTGTCGTATTCCTGTTGATAACTG